GGAAGGACCTGAATTGTCCATTTTTCCTCCAGCACAATCACAGTATCTTGGCATGTTTCCCTCACTTACGAAGAGACTTGCTTCTCAAGTCAGCAGATGAGATGATTCTCAGTGTATCAGATTAATGTCAATAAAGCAGTGCTTCCCAATTTTCTAATTCTAAACAATTTGGGCTTGATAATTTTATTAAAGTCAGTCACCTTATTAAACAGTTTGCAATCAACATCATTCTTGAACTGTTGTTGTGTTGTTCTGAACACACTATTAACCTCCAAGTTTCCAAAGGCAAGATTGTCTGGGGACAAGAAATGAACTAAACACCTTTAAAATATATTCTTCCTTTTACACCGAAGTGTCTTGATGTCTATATGGGTTCACAGACACATGAAAAAACCCACAGAATTAATTCTAGACTCTGTCCTTATTCAGAGAGAAGAAACGGCTGGTCGTGACTAATGCTACAGAACCTGTTTTACTCTTAAACAGAAGTAGCCAAACCAATGCAAACATGTGTTGGGTGAAAACAAGTTTGGTTGGCTCCAGACAAAGGGTTATTTTTTAAGCACAGATGGTTGAACGGTTGCCTCCTCCAAAGGGCTGCCAGCAAATGAAAGACAGATTTCTATTTCTAATCTATGCAAATATCTTACTCTGCAGGGCATCACAAAGACTAACTGTTTTGTGTCAGACACTGTAGATCCCAGGTGCTCTGGGAGATGCCAGAGCCCATCTCCACCTGAGACGCCTGGTAACCAGGATAACAGTGGATGACTGGAGAGTTAGTCATTAACTCGCTCCTAATGAATGTTGTTGGGGCCTTCTGTGAAACATTCCTCTGGAATCCTGCCCCACCACCACTGCTTCCCCTTGGCTGCTCTGCCTGCAAGCCAGTTTCAATATTTGGTTTGGACCTCAGATGCTTCTAAAGCCCCCGAAGAAGGCTCAGATTCCCAAAGGCTTCTGATGACTGTCAGTAGCATTCTTCACCTTGAATTCAGCTCATCTACTCATCTCTAACACAAAACCCCCCCAAACTTAAGCACTTAAAAATGCTATTCTGTCCAAACCCGGTCTCCTTTATATTCCAGCCCATACGCCTACAAGCATGGCACATCTTGCTGAACCATACCTGGGTGATTGCTGGTGGCTCTCAACCTTCCCAGGTATATGTAATTCCCTTTGTCTTTTCTTTCTCCCGCTACCAACTTTCCTTTCTTTTCTTTCAACCCTTTTTTCTCTTATTTCTCCATCTCCCAGCTTGTCTTTCACTTGCTCTGACACCCCTTAGTACATTCCAGTTTTATGGCCCCCTTCGGGGCAACAAAAATTTCTGCAATGCTGAAAAAAAAAAAAAAAAAACCCCACATATACACACAACTCCTCATGGTAACCCAATGCCTAACTTTAAACATCCTTTGCCATAAAGAGCAGGTTATACCTAAAATCTCCATAGCTTAGTTCCAGTGTTTAAATCTAAAAATATCCTTCAAAGTTTTAAATTTTTTCTTTGTTAGTTTTCCTGATCAAATGACAGTAACAGAGTTTGCTTCAAAATCCTGTGTTGGAAAACACTTCTTTCCCTCCTTTATCTTAAATGAACCAGGTTAAATGAATAAATTCTAAAGAAAAAGGAAAGAAAGACCCTTCCTAACCATGCTCAATAATAACCACTGCCAAAACTTCTTCCTCTGTACCTCAATTTTGAGACTTAAACTTTTTTGATTTTGCTCATGAATGCAAATATTGACAGTCAAATATTGCAGCTTTAAGTTTACTTGCCTGGAAAATCTAAAACTATAAAGAGTTTTAGAGGTTAACTAATTCATTGATTCCCAAGTTTGGATGAGTATCAAAACCACCTGTAGAGTGCTGTTTATTTTAAACAATATATCCTCCTGATCCCCCGCCCTAGACATTCCAATTCAGACTTCTGGTAGGGCTCCAGCATTCATATTTATAATAAATGCTCCAGGTAATTTTAACACAGCAAGCCCTGGTCTGTTTGAAAACCATAGATTTATTCCAACATCCTACCCAATATGGTGCCTCCTCTACAAGACACTACACAGGCTCTCCAGTCTACGATATATTTCCAGATACCAGTGCTCTCACATAAGTCTTGTTGTTCCATTTTTATATGGCTTTAGTTATTAGAAACTGTGTTCTTATGTGGAGCCAAATAGCAAAGTCTTTCAGCTCCGTGAACTTTACTTATTGTGGGCCCTAATTTTGTAACCCAGCACTAACACAGCTTTCTCCCTCCCACAGGAGTCTTCAAATATCTAAAGGTACCCACTGTGCCCTTGCAAGACTTCATTTTTCTAAGCTTAAACAGCCCTTTTTCTTTAACTTCATAAAGCACAACTTCTGAGTCCCTCACCACTTCAAATGCTCTTCTTCAACAACAACAGAGCTTACAGAAAAAGTCTGTCTAGAGTAACACCACTTCATTTTTCCTATAGACTGAAATTTTTTTAATATGCACTGATTCACAGTCCATTTTTCACTCTTGTCACTCACTGTCCTGCATTTAATGGTCTGAGAGACAAGAATCAGCTAGTACTTCTTAACCTAACACTGTGTTCCTGGCACTGTGTAAAGCCCCTGAAGAGGATTCAAGAGCCAGCAGAAATTGCCCTAGGAAGGACTTGGAAAAGTGAAATAACTTGAAAACAGCACACAATAGTATACAACAGAGTGCTTCAAATGAGCATCACGTGAAAGACTAAACATTAGGTTTGTGGGTCAGACTGTGAGCTAATTCATGGCCTTTGTTTGCAGACACACCATCTATTTAACAACAGTGTTTTATTTATTTTTTTTCCTGACCAGTAAGGGGATCGCAACCCTCAGCACGGTGTGGTCTGCACCACGTTCAGCCAGTGAGCGCACCAGCCATCCCTATATAGGATCTGAAC